ATAGGGTTTGTGTCAAGTTTTCCTTCTCTTTGCTGCTGTTGTCCTGTGTAGTTTTCTCCCTTAGTCGGCTCTTACGACACCCATGGGATGAATAGTGGTAACACTATTCAAATTCTTAATCCGTCACTACACGCATAAATCTCAATCAGATCAGAGCTCACCGATTTTTTTTTTCTTGTTTTCCTTAGGATTGTTTTAAAATCTATTGATGTATATTATGTAGGAGAACCACGCTTCGCCATCTAAGAGCCAGTTCGACTGGAGTATCACCACGGCCTCACAGCAATTCTAAACTTCTAGTTACCGCTAAACTTTGTTATTAACATAGAGATATAACCCAGAGAGCCTTAATCTTGCAAAATAGGCAACGAAGGAGATGGATACAGTCTGTCAAGAAGGTATTGAAAAAAATTGAGGCCGCCACTGCCGTTATACCTGGTATCCCTGATTACTTCGACTAAAACATTTTGATATCTTGTTTTTTTATATAATTGTTTTATGATACCTGAATCCCTGTACAATCCCGCGTAGGGTTTATGACTGCAAACATTTATTAATTATAAATGTCTTGAACAAGTTAATCAAAACAAATACTTTGGCGTTACAAAGAATTGCAATCTGACCTTTGTAGATCAAATTAAATTGTTCTCGTTTGTTCAAGAATATTTATACAGGTGTTTTGCAGATGCCTTTATCATAAAAACCAAATATACTTTCCTGGCTCAGTGCCTTCTCACTTACTCTATCTTTCTGGTATGGTCTAAGAAAATCACTTGATAAAGAGCCGAGATAGCCCTAAGTGCTACTTTGAAAGTGTGTTAATTTAACCTTAATACAGTTAATATAACACAGTGTGAACAGAGCGTACAGAATTACCTGCTTAGCCTTTCATATGTTGATACTTAAGAGATATGACATAATCGTAGCTAACGTTAACTTGAGACAAACAGATTTAAATTCAGACAAACAGACATTTAGACAAACACACAAACACAGGCAGTATATATGAATATGTCAAAGTGTTACTGTGCGTTTAATAGTCAAATAAAAAATCGGTTGTCTGTAAAGTCGATTTACTGACGATAGTTGAACGTGACAACGTCATAAGAAAATACTGATGGAATGGTAGCATTTTTCAAAAATGTATTATTGTATACGAGTAGCAGCTGTCCACGCAGACGCATCCCTCACTCAAGTAGGAGAGAGACAGATGTCGAACGCTGCCGAACGTGGTGGCCGATTGTGCCTCTTTGTCGCTCGTTCCGCGCTCTCGCTTGCACTTCAAGCCTTAAATAGAACGCCTCAGAGCGAGGTAACGCCGCATGAGTCATGTTTTTTCGTGCGTGTAGCCGGCTCCATCGAATTATAAGACGTTGTCACGTCAAAAAAAACCTCTGCCTATTGAAACACTTATGTTGCACCTACGAATAATTAGTTACGTAAAGCAAAGAAAGCGCAAACTAGCCAGACAGACACATGGTGTTAAAATAAAATAAAAGAAGTATTTTAATTGTATGTTTTTTATGAGTCAAGGTATTTAACAAGAAATGATGCCTGAAACTCTAGTGTCATTTATTTAGTAAACTTCCACCTCTTCGGAATCACTGGAACTATCACCACATACAAACACAATCAGTCTATGTCACTGTACAGAGTTCTTCGAGGTAAAATATAAAATTTTTAATTTCTATTACATTCTCAACACAATTCTTCCATGTTTGTGCTGTTACCAACTAGAATGCTTCTTCAGACAACTTCGAAATATTTTGACTACCAACATTTTTTTGTGCAATTCGTCTCTTCATCAACAGCTTTTAACAGTCCCCTGCAATACATAAGCCTCTCCTTAGAAAGGAAGTTTTGGCCTACTGTACCACGCTGGCCAGACGGGTTGGTGTAGGGTTTGTGTCAAGTTTCCCTTGTCTCTGCAGTGCTGTTGTTCTGCGTAGTTTTTTCCCTTAGTCGACTCTTACGACACCCACGGGATAAATAGGTTCGGTGACAGTCTGTATTCTTAATCCGTCGTCACACGGATTTGTCTTTTGAATATTGCTCAAACTAATTCTATAGGATTCAGGTCGCAGTGGCAAGGTAATGCAGTTTCATCGCTGTATGCCTATGTTCTCCTAGACGACCATGAATATAGTACACCGGTTCTCGTTCATGCTTTTTTACAAGCATTAAAAAAGAAAAAGATGACTTTCGTGACGATTCATCATCAAAATCTGTCTTCACAACTGCCAGTATTTTTCTAAGGGTAGGAACTTCTTTCTACACTGTGACGAATCGAATATATATTGAAATAATCGATTGTCTGTGCTTTCCAGCCGTTACGAATTTGATAGATATTATCGTTACGACTATAATAGATAGTCCCCTCTGTCTCTTTCTAGTGAAGCTCTCTGGTTGGCTGGGGAATATGAGGGTTTAATGAGCAGCCAATCACAGCTTAGCTAAACCGAGACAGAGGGAAATATCTGGCATCTAAATCTCTCGTTGCCTGTATCGCTTTCACTTACAGGCAGCTGTACCCCTTGTTCTCTCTATGCTTATATCTCTATAGTTATTAATGAACCGATTTTGACAGATTTTATTTTATTTCGGAGTTTATAATTCCTTTTTGGTCCTATTTAACAAAATATGAAACAAAGAAGAAATACTTAACCTAAGGATGTAATTAAAGAATGAAGTTTACTACAATTCATCATGTTCATATTAAAGTCGATTAAAAATTCTAAAAAATCAGAAACTTAATAATTCAGACAACGGAGCTCTTCAAAAAGTGACAGTAAATAAACCGCGATTGATGCTAGGTATTTAGTGCTCTTGTTTGAAGTCGGTTTAACCTTTTTTTTTAAGTATTTATGTTGTATTTAGTCATTTTTATTAGCTCTATATTGTATCTGGTTTGGACAACACACGCAGGGCAAGGTTGTCCATATTAACAGCAACTAAGCTTAGGAGAGCCGAGAAATAAAATAAACATTGCCACTTTAAGTGTGCAAGAGGTACCCTAATTGTTTTTTTTTTCATTTTACCACTTTAATACCATGATTAATATATAGTGTCCATGCAAAATTGCAGCATTCTAGTACCAAAGCTAAGCCATGGACGGACGGACAGACGGATATGGCGAAACTATAAGAGTTGCTAGATAAACGCTATTTAAGTATGAATGAAATAAATTTAATACGTTTTTAAAGTAGACGTACGTAGACGTAGGCACAAAAACATATATCTAGACTAAGAATACAAATATTTGCCACGCCCTCAAAAAATGTGAAAAAGCATTCTTTTTGTTTATTTTCTACTTTAAAAGTGTATATTTTGTAATTCCATAAAGGTTGTTCTTTTTTTTAAATCGTTGTAAAATCCAAAGCACCATAGCGTCATTGGAGATTTTTATAAGTTCCATAAGAGAACCTTGTTAATAATAAATAATTAGATTTTATAAAAACTTTTTAAAGATTTTTTAACTAAAATTCATTTTTTCTTTTTATTCATTAATGTTGATTATTATCTTATTAAGACTAAAAAAGTAACAAGTAAGTTTATCACTTATGCTCGCACACGCCTTAGTAAAGGTCAAAAGACACTACCTTATTTTAGGTATGGAAAAAGCCGTTAAACCTGAAGACCCTGTTCAGGATAATGGGACAAACTATTCAAATTATTGTATTGTCATCGGTCCTTGATAAGTGTGCGAAGCTTCAATTTAATTCGACGTTTTGAAGTGGGTCAAAATCACGTTTGAAGTTACCGTTACATACATAAATACTAAGCTAATAAAAGCGTGTTAAAAACAATGTCCGTGTGGTGACGGATTAAGAATACAGAGTGTCATCACTCCTATTCATCCCGTGGGTGTCGTAAGAGCCGACTAAGGGAACAAACCCTGCAGGACAACAGCACCGCAAAAAGATGGAAAACTTGAAACAAACCCTATACCAACCCGTCTGGCCAGCGTGGTATAGTAGGCTAAAACCTCCTTTCTAAGGAGAGGACAAACAGTTCAGCAGTGGACTGTTAGGGGCTGTTGATGATGGAATGAATGAATGAATGAAAAACAATATCATTCTTTTCAACAATCTTAAATATTATTATATTAAACGTATGGACCGACTACCAGGGTGATGCCACGGCCTCACAGAAAATTGGTGACCATCGGGTAACCAGCTTGTATCCGCTGCTTGCTTGCCCTCTATAATAATATCGATTTAAAATTTAACCTAAGCCTAAATTGTCAAAGCTCACTTTAGAAACATAAACTGAACTGATGGCTTAGTGGTTTAAGCGGTCGCCACGCCGCTTACTACTACGCTGAGTGTTGTGGGTCCGATCCCCGCATGGGACGACACTTTGTGTGATCCACAAATTGTCGTTCTGAGTCTGGGTGTTCTGGGTCTATTTCATGTATGTTTGTAAAGTCCCCCGTGACACAGGATATATTCCTCATGCGGGAGTTGTCTTTTAAAAACAGAAAGAAAAGAAAAAGAATAAATCCTTTTTAAAAAGCAGTTGAATCGACTTCAAACAATACTAACAAAGAGCACTAAAAACCTAGCAGCAATCGCAGTTGATTTGCTGTCATTTTTTGAAGAGTTCTATTGTCTGTCTCCGAAACTCAGTATCAGATCTATATGAAATTTAAACCCTAAGGGACCTTCTCGGAACAAACCCCTTTCGAACAAAAAAATAATTTAAAAAATCCGGCTACATATGACAAAGTTATGCCCGAACATACATTAAAATATATATAAACATCCAAATTGATAACCTAATCCTTTTTAAAGTCGGTTAAAACATTCAGTATTAACATTGAATCAAAGAAACAGACCGAACGCAAAATAACTTTGTAAATTCAAATTGACAATGTAAATTTGGCGCGCTCACTATAAATATGGCTGCCGCTTCGTTCAGAACTCAGTATTACCGACCAAGTAGTTCCCACCACCGGTGTAGTCACTCGTGATTTTTAAAATCTTTTTTTAAAAGAAAAAATGATGAGTGCACTAATTTTGATAGCCGTCTTTTTGATGGGGGTGTATAAATTTTATTTCAAAAACACCATTACTTTCAAAAAAGCTACGAAATATGGCGACAGCAAGACGGTTGTTTTAAAAGAGGCACCGGGCCCGACTCCTCTCCCGGTTATAGGTAGTTTACACCTTTTGGGGAAATGCGAGTCACCTTTTCAATCCTTTACGGAATTGGCAAAGGAATATGGGGATATATTTAGCATCAAATTGGGAGCTACGAAGTGTTTGGTTGTTAACAACTTAGAGTTGATTCGGGAAGTACTAAATCAAAATGGCAAATTCTTCGGCGGTCGTCCGGACTTCTTACGATTTCATCAACTATTCGCTGGAGACAGAAATAATTGTGAGTGTGCTTAATTTTTTTTTACTTCCAAAAAACGAGAAGGTTTTGTACGTCATCGTAAAGCTTTGTCATTTTTGAATCGATATAAAACACTATTTATTTATTTGGCAGGGTATACTTTCCTTTACGTCCTATTCGAATTCCAAAAAAATATTATGTGGAAAATTAATATAGTATTCGAATCACTGACACTTTCTTTTAATTATTTATAATTTTATTATAGGCCTTATGCGTGTATACATTTCTGAACTTGAAACTAACTTTTTTTAAGACACAATATGGAATGTTGACTATGGTTATTAAAAAAAATACTAATAGTTAGGGAATTAGTTTATATATTTTCCTATTTTACATTAAATATATTAACTATATTTTAATTTAGATGTAAATATTTACTTGTCTATACCATTATGTGATGGTGGTATACAAAAGCTTTTCAACTATTTGTCAGAATGTAAATTTAAAAGAATAAATAAAAGATATTAAAGGACCACTTTGATGCCTTTACAACTAATTTTTTCTCAGTAACCCGTTAGTGGCGATGTTTTAATTATCAGAAAGAACTTTTACCTTTTAGTTGGCTATTAAAGCGTTATTATTATCGTTTTTTTTTAAATATATCATAAATAAAGGATCCCTTTAAAGGATTACATTTCGTGTTGTTCGTGTCTGTCAGATTATTTGTTAAAAACGCGTAAATTAACATCATGTTTTTGAGTTATATATATAACTATATGTGTATATGTGTGTGTGGTGACTGATTAAGAATACGTAATGTCATAACCCCTATTTATTATGTGGGTGTCGCAAGAGTCGACTAAGGGAGCAAACTATGTAGGACAACAGCACTTCAAAGAGAAGGAAAACTTGGAACAAACCAGCAAGCAAAGTATAGTAGGCCAAAGCCTCCTTTTGAGGAGTGGCCTATGTCCAGCACTGGGCTATCAGAGGCTGTTGATGATGTGATGTGATGTGATGTAAATTTATAGTTTCAAGAAATCGCATAAAGAAATATTTTATGTTCATCAATGGACGATATTCATAAAATTTTGCTGACAATTTCTTTCAAAACTTGATGATGTTTGTGTGATTTTTTGTTTTGTGACGAATCGTGAAATTATTTAATTGAGGTAATAATAAAATTTTTACACATCTCACACACGGCCGTCAGATCCCAAACTAGGCAGACCCTGTGCTATGGTAACCAGACTGCTGATAAACACACTTATATATTTCTAAATGCATACATATTATAGATAAATTATACCTAGACACAGAACAAATGATCGTGCTCATCACACAAATGTTTGTCCTGGGTGGGAATTTAACCCACGACCTCCGCCTTAGCAGTCAGGGTCACTAACCACTAGACCAACAGGCCCGATCAACAGGTATTTTTATCGTAACTTTGTGTAAGGAGTAAAATTTTGTATAAATATACCTACTGGCTTTTGCCCTCGTCTCCGCCCGCTAAAATATCGTTTATCGAAGTAAAAAGTAGCCATTGTAGATAATTCTGTTGTTAGAAAATTCTCTTCACTAAACTAAAAATCACAAAAAATTTGCTTAGTCCTGTAAAGTACTACGTTTTCAGAATACGAAACGTGATTTGACAGGACTAAACAACATTTAAGTGATTTTTAGTTTAATTTATAAAGTTTTCGAACAACAGAATTATCACCAATATCTTTCCACAAGAATCAAAGTATTTTCATGTAAAATTTCATCTAAATCATTTCAGAGGTTATTGATCCCTATACAGGCTTCCACTCCCCTTTTTATCCCCTTAAAGGATGTTTTCTGGGATAAAGACTGCCCTATGTCCTTTCCCGGGACTCGGACGATCTCTGTACCAAATTTCATCTAAATCGATTCAGCGGTTTAAGCGTGTAGTGCTATCAGACAAACAGATAGACACACTTTCGCATTTATAATATTAGTATGGATATATAGAAGTATATACTCGTATATGCCCAGATAGTGAGTCTTTAAAGTTAAACATTTAACATTATATTTTTTACTTTGAGTCTAGCCAGTTCGGTTCGGGCGCGTTTAGATTTTCAAATAATACAATTCGTTTAATAGTAGTTAATTATATAAGGTCTATAAATACCCAAAGGTTACTTAAAATACCTAAAAAATTTACTTTCATCCCAAAAACCAAATCTGCCGAGTTTTTTTTTAAATACCTCATACATCTGCCTTCAACAATAAATTCAGTAATAAACACATTTTAAACCGTAGAGATATAACCATGGAGAGAACACGGGGTACAGCTGCTTGTAGGGGGGCGTCCATTAATTACGTGAAGCGTTCAGGGGGGCAGGGGGTCGAGTCGAATCTCATCTAATCTTGCTAAGCGAAGAGGGCGCGTCTCGGCAAATATCACGTATTTTTTTTATCCGCAAGAAATAGAGTAAAATTGTAAATATACCTCCACGGAAAATATGGCCAAGTCTTTTACAATAATATTTATCATGGTGTTGCAAGTGCCGCGAAGTTGCACAGTAGCTCGTCGTTTGTTTACGCGCCAGCCTTTACGCCTTTACATCACACTTTTAAAATTTCACGTGAGATCGGGGGATGGGGTTGAATCATATCTCACAACATGTCATCAGAGGGGGAAGTTCAGAAAATCGCCGAAAACCCCTCACGTTTTAACCAGTATATGTTATATTGGTTAAAATAAGATATAAAGTAAGAAATTGTGTAAAATACTTTATAGAACTATAAAGGTCCAATTTATATTTTTACCTGTCATGGTACAAAAGTCCACAAAATTACAGTTTAACTTATACTGGTCAATGACGTAAAATAAAACATTAATACTGGGCAAAATTCGACCCTCGGGCGATCTCCAATAAAAAATACTTTTTTGTATTGAATTTAAAATCTACAATTTATCATCCATTGACAAAACAACAAAAAATGATAAAAAGAAGCTCTCTGGCGGCCGACGGACTTGCGACCTGTGCTTACCACAATGTAATAAAATACTTCATATAGCTTATACTCTGAGCATAGACAATCAAAGGTAGATATTTTATCAACTATTACTGTCATATTTTTATCAAAAATTAAATAAATATTCCCATAGTTCAAGTGTAAGTTCTCATTATTTAATCTAAATAGCATCGTCAAATCGCTTGTAATCGAGCGCGGATTAAATTTCTTTAGGATCTAATGACATAGAGCTAACTGTATTCTGTCATGGCGTAAGTTACAAGATTATGGCGGGATAGTTTTAATCTAATAGAGCTATTACTTTGGCCTTAAGATTGTCGATGTATAGCGTAATCACTGTTTTAGTTGAGGAGTAAGAGTCAGCGGGAAACTTCTAGGAGGTGTTTTTAAATAAAATTAATGATCCGATTTGAATCAAGCGCAGGGAGTTGTTCTGTTCATATGTATATAGAAAATCCATTACTACTAAGCATAACGCTGAATTTCTCTTCTGAATTGTTTAGGATGAGCAGTGGAAAGTAAAAAATTACAAGGTTCAACTGATCTCCAAAGTCTAATGTCTGAATTAGAAAACGCTTATACCATTACAGCAAATAATAATAAGTATCAACATTTTTTTCTCTAAGTCTTCAAATCCCCTCAAAGCTTAGACAAAAACGATGATCTCCCTTAGGTCGAAAGGTCGAAAATTCCTATGGCATTAAGTTTGCCTTTACCACATTTGTGCACAAAGATTTAATAAATCTCTAAACTAAAATTATAGCCAAGAAGACTCTCAATCTCCTCCTCCTACAGATAAAAAAAAACTTAATTTTAATTAATCCGTGCGTTTAGTAGCTATTATGCAGTTTTAATAATACATAACATGAAATTATGAGATAGCCGTTTGATTAATACATAACACGAAATTGTTTAAAATGAATATCTAAAAAGTACAGTGATTGGTTATTTTAAAAAAAAAAGCACTAGTTGGTAAGCCATAAAATCGCTCTCGCTTATATCTTGTGAGCTCGTCCTTGGGGTGATATTCTCGTGTTACGGAGTATCTCAAATATAAGGTTCTGGTTACACGACACGTCAAGGCGCCATGTGAAGGAGAAATAAGAGTGCGGATACACTTGCGAAATGTGTTCTTTCTTGAATTAATGACGAAATTTTTACATAAATATATGCCTGTAGGTCCAGTCGTAAGTGACTGTTTAGTCAGAGATTGTGGGTTTTATGCCCAGGACAAATATTTCGTGATGAGCACGATCATTACTTTTTTGTCTTTGTGTAATTTATCTGTAATTTAGAAATATCAGTGTGCCCGTGCCTGCCAATTACGCATCATCACATCACATCAACAGCGTTTAACAGTTCACTACTGGACATAGGCCTCTCCTTAGAAAGGAGGTTTTGGCTTACTATACCATACTGACCAGACGGGTTGGTCTATTAAGCAAGTGGAATTAATCGCCTCTGAATACCCTTTTGAGAATAGACAGAGAGGATAAACAGCCACATTGTAGTTGTATGTTTCTTGCCTGAACCTATTTCTGCCCTGTACTAAGTACAAAAAAATCAAGCATGTCCGTACTCTAATGTTTAGAGAAACATGTGTTCATAGAGATAATAATAATAACCTCACACATCTCACACACGGCTGTCTGATCCTAAACTAGACAGAGCCTGTACTATGGTAACCAGACCGCTTATAAATATACTTATATATTTCTAAATACATACATATTTTAGATAAATTACACCCAGACACAGAACAAATTATCGTTCTCATCACACAATATTTGTTCTGGGTTAAGCGAAGGTTGTGGGTAATCGAACCCACAACCTTCACTTAACAGTCCAAACCAATAGACCAACAACCCAATCAAACAAACAAACACATTTCTTCCCAAACTAGGTTGGAGTCGACTTTAAATCTACTACTAGCTTCTAAAACTTCTATGACCATCTAAAAAATTCTCTCCATAAAAATACAATCGTATAGGATCCTCCATTTTTTGAAGTCGGTTAAATAGGCCGTTTGCTAATCGTTGTCTGTGCCGAAAAATGTAACTCTATACTTAACATTGTTTATGCACAACTTCCTACTTGAATGTGCAATCATTCGAAATTTGAAACTTCGAATGTAGCTCGGCATTTGTTCTGCGTGACATACATAAATTGCAAACTTTTAAATTATAAATGCGTAAATTCCTTTTTTAATAATATTACACAAATATGTAACGTTACCTTGTAGTTATGTCTTTCAATACATGTCTGAAATAAAACTACAAGAATCAAATGTTTAAAAGTAAATCTGTAATTAGTTTAAATTTGAAAGACCTGTGATGTTAGTGTCGCTCACTGATATGCCAGAGGTCGTGGGTTTGATTCCTACCCAAGACAAAGAATTTTTTAATGAGAACGATCATTTGTTCTATATCTGGGTGTAATTTATCTTTAATATGTATGTACTTTTAACCGACTTCATTGTAAGTATATTTATGAGCAGTTTGGTTGCTATACACATCCTATACAGGCTCTGTCTGCTCGGCCGTGTATGAGGTGTCAAGTTATTTATAAGGTAATAATATTCCACCTTCGAGAGTATCTTATTCTCCATCTGTCTGTCTTGATTATTTACTAATTGCGATCAAATTTCGACTTCTTAGCGACGGTTTTCGTTAGATAATAAATGGTCCTTTTTATTGTTATAGCTTTGGCGCTTTGCGACTGGTCCAACCTACAGTTAAAGAGACGTAACTTAGCAAGACGCCATTGTGGGCCAAAACAGCACACCGACAACTTTTCGAGAATCGGCGACGTCGCCACTTTCGAATCCGTTGAACTTATTCAAACATTGAAAGGTATTGCACGAAGTACCGACGCAGCAATCAACCTAAAACCAATCCTTATGACCACAGCGATGAATATGTTCAGCCATTACATGTGCAATGTCAGATTCGATGCAGAAAACGATGTAGAATTCAAGAAAGTCGTGGACCATTTCGACGAGATATTCTGGGAGATCAATCAAGGGTATGCCGTCGACTTCCTACCTTGGTTGGCGCCGTTCTACAAAAAACATTTGGACAAACTATCTGGCTGGTCTCAGGAGATCAGATCTTTCATACTATCCAGGATTGTTGAACAGCGGGAAATGAACTTAGACACAGAAGGCCCTGAAAAGGATTTCCTAGATGGTTTGCTCAGGGTTTTGCACGAAGATCCTACCGTTGATAGAAACACGATCATTTTTATGTTAGAAGACTTCCTGGGCGGTCACTCTTCGGTAGGTAACTTGGTGATGTTGTGTCTCACAGCTGTCGCCAGGGATCCAGAAGTTGGCAGGAAGATACGAGCTGAACTGGATGGCTTGACTAAAGGGAAGCGACCTGTTAGCCTTTTAGACAGGCCGAACTTGCCTTACACTGAAGCCACTGTGCTCGAATGTCTTCGATACGCTTCTTCACCGATTGTACCCCATGTGGCGACAGAAAACGCTGCTGTGGCTGGTTATGGAGTGGAGAAAGGAACTATAGTCTTCATCAATAACTATGAACTGAATATGTCTGAAGAGTACTGGAAGGAGCCTGAAAAATTTGATCCAACTAGGTTTTTGGAGAAGAGCAAAACAAAGGTACGTAGGAACTCCCTTTGTGATTCTGGCATGGAGTCTGACGGAGAAAGACCAATGAAGGCGGTCGGTGAAAAGGAAGGGTGGAGTGTTATGAAGAATATCCCTCATTTCCTCCCATTCAGCATCGGGAAGAGGACGTGTATTGGTCAGACTATGGTCACAACGATGAGTTTTGTAATGTTTGCTAGCATCATGCAAGAGTTTGAGGTAGCTGCAGAACACGCCGAGGACCTAAGACAGAAGCCTGCCTGTGTAGCGTTACCAAAAGATACATACCGTTTTTATTTAGTGCCTAGAAAGCATTAAAACCTTATTTCTATTATAATCTGTGATGTGTTTATGGCGGTCTTTTTCAAAATTTGATTTTTTATAGTGACAGCTCAACTTTTTTAAAACAAAGTGTCAATTTTGACATTGCCGGTTTAAAAAGAGGTAACTAGCATACAGGTTACTTTTAATACTACTACTAATACTATAATAGAGTTGAAAAATATGTTAGTACGTTATATACATTAAGCAATTTTCATTGATTTTATTTTCTAAGTTGAAAGTTAAGTTTCCAGTAGGAATCAATAGAATAATCTTTCTTTTTCAATTACAAAATAAAACTTCTAAATTTAAGACTTAAGACTGCGCCTGTAGAGACAAACGACCATTTTCTATTGTATCTATTTCAATTGCCCCAAAAAACACTTTATATTTTTATAGCTAAATCTATGGAACCGTACTAAGTAGATGCTTAAAATTATCACGAATTGCTAGTCTCTATAACAACAAATAATAATTATTATAAAATAAAACAGTCTCAATAGCAAAATAAACTTGGTTATTTTTTTTTAACATTTAAAGTGTTAATGTTTTATACACTATTACGATTAGCAACACACTTTGGTTTTTTCACACAAACATGTTACATTTAAAATAATATATAATATTCCTGTGAATAATTTAAATTTGTTTTTTTTTTATAGTTGTGATGTATCAAATTCAAAAATTTAAAAAAAAATGTAAACATGTCTTGTTTCTCTATAGTAATGAATGTTAGAATACGTGACTGAATTCTGTTCGAAGAAATCTCATTTATAGGGTTTGTTAGTATGTATTTAGTTGAAAAAAGCATAGATATTATCATTGGGATACTTTTTCTCAATGTCATCAAAACTTAAACTATATTTTTATGTGTCTATTAGTCTATTAGTCACTCATCAAAATTGGCTGTTTTATAATTAGATGTGTGTTTATGATTTGACCGAAGAAAGGTATTTATTTTTATTTTAGAAGTAGTTTAAAAATACAAAGTAGCCATAGACAAACGGTACTAGCAGAAAGTAGTTTTTTATAAATTAAAATGGAATATTTAATTTTACTAAATACATTTCTTCGGTTACTTTTTTGTTTCAAGTGTGTATGAAATATATCTTAAATAGAACTGGTTACATGTTAGTTGTATTTTTAAGTAGAAATAATAGGGGAATATTGTAAGAAACTCTTAATAAAATTGGTAAATAAAAGAAGTTAAATATTTAACTAGATCTTTAAACTTATATTCATTTATATAATAACGTTGAACTATGGCGGATTTCCAAAGAAAAGAAAATTAGTATATTATTATATTGTAACCAAATTAATAGAAACCATTTAGAACAATATTAACACTTAATATTAATGATTAAATTCATTGTAATAGTTATTAAATCGTAGCAGATTATTTAAATGTTTAAAATAGGGAGCTAAAAAAAAAGAGTGGTTGGAACGAATTGAAATGAAACGTCAAATGTGACAAATAAAACAATATGGCTGACTGTAGTAGAAAAATATATGTTAGTAGTAGATTTTAGAAATTATAGTTTACATTTGCATAATATATCAGTTTTTTTATTTCTCTCAGATGAGCGATCTCCTAAGGAGGCCCCTTACGACTTGACTACGAACCTTTTACAAAAGTATTACAGATTATAATGTTTAATAGAATACCCATACTCAGAACAACAGTTTGTTTATCTCATGTGGGGATTCAACCCACAACACTCATCACAGTAGAAATCGGCGAGGTGACCACTACGCCAGAACAGTCAATTCGGGTTTTCTGAATCTTAGCAATGGAATGGCTATGTATATATTCTTAAAACCATAAGTAACTAAATCAGAATAATAATCTGCATTTTAACCTACTTAAAAAAGGAGTAGGTTATCAATGCAATTCAAAATTCAATTTAAGGATGTACATAAAATGTATATATATATATATATATATATATATAAGTAACGGGGATTGACAGCTTAACGTGCTCTCCGAGGCACAGAGGGGTCTCAATGCGTTAACAATGATCACCCATCCATAAATTGACCTGGCTAAGATGGCTTACCTTTAAAGCAAGGCAAGGCAAGGTATTAACTTAATCTGTTAACACTCAGCCACGAGTCCCACGAGTACATGAAAAAAGACAACTTCTAATCACCCTATACAAAATATTTCTTCTTAAATGCGGGTACATTTTGAGGAATTCTCCCGGTTTTTATCATATATTTGGAATACTTCATGTCCATACTGGAAAAGGAACTGCAGGACGACAAAATATTTAAACAATATGTGTTATAAAGTTGAAATTCATTTAAAAATGGCTTCATAAATCTATAGGTAAATATTTTGACCTGTCCTGGTGTAAAAGTCTATGCATTGTGATGAGCATTCTTTTATCAGCATACAATAAAGAAAAAACCTTCCAGGTACGTGTTCCGTATCTTACCCAGATTTTACGTAGATTTTCGCTAAAATTTGTAAGTAGGTACCAAATTATTATTTTTTGGAATTATTCCTTTATTTGTGCTGTAAGACGTTTCTTTTTGCCAAATTTCGTGATTCTACGTCAACTGGAACTACCATATAGGTTTTCGACCCAAAACCTATAGGGTTCTTCCGGTTGACCTAGAATTGTGAATTTTGGTTAAAAGCAAGGTACAGCACAAGTAAAGAGAAAATTAAAAAAGTTGAAAATTAAGGTAAATTTTGGTACTTTCAAGTTTTCGCGAAAATCGAAATTTGCCCATGTCTTTTCATCGTGCTGACTCAGGACCTTGATTTTTATACACCTAATAGGGACCATAGACCTTAGTACCTGGTAAAAATTTCAACTTGCTAGGTCTACCCGTTCCTGAGAAAATCGGTGGTGACACACGGACAGACGGACAAGAAAGTGATCTTACAAGGGTTCCTTTTTTACCTTTTGAGGTACGGAACCCTAAAAATATAAACATCCTAATTGATAACCTCCTCCTTTTGTTGGTCCTCCTCCTCCGTTGGTTTTGGGTCGAAACCTGTATGGTAGTTCCCCTTGACCTAGAATAGTCAATTTTCGAAAATCTAACTCAAAGCGACGCATCATCCTGCACCACGACAACGCAAGCTCACACAGCGCTCGTCAAACGATTGAGTATTTGAAACAGGAAAAAGTAGAAATTCTTGACCGTCCTCCAGTCCAGACAGAGTCCTGACCTAAGCCCTAACGATTTCTTTACATTTCCTAAAATTAAGAAAAGTCTTCGTGGTCAAAGGTTCCAGTCCGGTGAAGAAGCAGTCGACGCTTTCAAATCAGCCATTTTGAACATCCCCACTTTAGAGTGGAATAAATGTTATAATAACTGGTTTGAGCGAATGGAAAAGTGTATTAAGCTACGTGGTGAATACTTTGAAAAACAATAAAAAGTACTATAAGGTTCTAGTTGTGTTTTTTTCTTCAAACGACAAAACTTAAAAGGCATACCTCGTATACTATTAGTATAGATATTTTTATAAAAATCCTGCCAGTTATATCCCTTTGCATAAAATCATCGCTAAAACTATCTATACAAATATATAATATATATCTATAAAAATATCTTTTTACAATTTTTGTCTGTCTAGTCTGTCTGTCTGTCTGTTTGTTCCGGGTAATCTCTGGAACGGCTGGACCGATTTCGACGGGACTTTCACTGGCAGATAGCTGATGACATAAGGAGTAACTTAGGCTACTTTTTTTTCGACTAGCTTCGCCCCGCGGCGTTGCCCGCGGTTATAACAACAAACGCGGGTAACACCGCGGGTCTCAGCTAGTGGTAGATAAAATAACGTGAGTTAGACAGAAAGAAATGAAGTATTTTTCTATATATTTCTATGTAAAAATCACAAAAAGGGTACAATTCGATTATCATCACAGGAGGCACAGATTTGTATATTTGACTTTTTTTTATATATATATATATTTTATCTTAGAGGGGGCAGGCGTGCAGACGGGTCACCTGAAGGAAAGTGACTATCGCCGCCCATGAACGTCTGCAACTCAGGAGTCACAAACGGCCTTTTAGGAGGGAGTACGCTCTTTTCTTGAAGGTTTGAAGGTCGTATCGGTCCGGAAATATGAATATGTCTCCTATGAACTGTCTTGAGCATATCACACCATTTTTGGTAGATAACCAATCGTCCCCTCGACAATTTGCTTCGATCTATATCTTTTTCTTTTAGGGCATTTAGGAAACCAATAACATATACCACAATGATACGCCACTATTTTTACAAAATAATCACTTCAAAAAAAATATATTCAAAGGATGATCAAACAAATATCGACCTATAAATCACAACACTATCGATACACGTGCTGTCTTAGACAAAGACAACTATTGTAATTTACGTAATGAGTGAAAGGGACATTTCAAAAAGACATCAACGGGTCCTGAATTATTATTACTAAGCACCATTATAAGTTGAACTCCGGTGCATCTGAAATAGGTTAACGTGATAAGAATATAATTTACTTGCAGATGAAATTTTATACCATCTTTTTGATAACTGAATGTCTTATCTGACTTGTCACACCATTTCTCTGTAGGGAAAGCCATTTCTAACATACATATTTTGATAAAAAACTATTTTAAATTGCCAAGAACTCGGACGTGCGTACGGGTCACTAGCTTGGTCGTTACTAATGTCGTGATTCTTAGCGTCACGTCGTTTGCTAGCTACAGCAAGTATGTGATGCGGGTTTTTGTGGCCCTTTATGCGGAATCTTTAAGGCGGTAATCCATGGCCCGAATATACATAAAAATATATATAATAAACATTCGAATTGATAACCTCCTCCTGTTTGAAGTCAGTAAAAAATTTAATGAATTACTATCGTATTCTGACCTCTGAGTGACCACTCGCAACATCAAAACAATATATGCTTTAAATAACACGGCTAAGATTAATAGTAATGCGTTATTTTATACCATCTCACGGTAATAAATAATTCAGATATGCATCGTCAATGCTGCCTATTAAAATATCA